AAACAAGGGTGGACCACACCCTCAATATGGAGGGCAGTGTGGATCTGGTCTTTCTTCCGTGGTACATCGCTGCTCATCTCGTTGGTCGAGTTGAGGACAGGTCAGTGGCTGCTATCCCAGTCCTGCGTGTACTTTTTGTGATCTCTTCATGTTTGAATCCAGCGCCTCATGCCTTTGTCGCCGTCTATTTCTTGGGGACGTTTATGACAGTTTGCTTCAACTTGAGGGAACCTCCTCAAAACCTTTTGACTTTTGAACCATGAAGGCATTTGTTGTATAGTCCACGATGTGGCCAGGGGGAGTGTGATGATATGCAATTCCTTTGTTTTCATTTCATGGAGGAGGACATTCCATTGATCAGGACCACAGATTGGTGGCACACGCTCCTTGTTTTGGCTCACAAAAAAACCTCCAGTGCGTTGCACGGTTCCTCACAAGCTCAGGAAGACAAATCCTGCATTTTCCCGACTACGATCTCTTAGTAAACCATGTGTGGTTTGCTGTAGGTGGCGATCCACCTAAAGCAATCCCTAGCAAGAATTGGCAAGAATCTCTCTCTCTCTCTCTCTCTCGGTCTTTTAGGTTGGAGGCCATTGCTACTAGGGTGGAGGCCATCGCTAGTAGGTTGGAGGCCATCTCTATTAGTCTCTCTCTCTCTCTCTCTCTCTTGTTGCTCCCAAAACCATCCCTTCGATGTCGCCTCCATGAAGTTCGCGGCGCCGGTCCGCGCGTGCAGACGTGTTCTGGCAGAGCACGTCGTAGGTGATCCGCTTGAAGCGGCCTAGATCCTCAGGACCGAGGTGACGAAGCTGCGAACGAACATGCCAGGTGAGGGTCTTGGAGTCTGGGAAGAGAACACCTGGAGACACCGTGCCTGGCCCCATGAGTCCGATGGTCATAGGAAAGCAGGTCGTATATAATGTTGTATCGCTCGCTTGCTCGTTCGGACGTTGGCGTGCTCGCCAGAAAACCAAGTAATTAAGTGAGAAAGCCTGGCTCACTTAAAAGGAAATTCTAATGATGCATTTGATGGGGTTTGTCTACAGGAACATCAGCCGGCGTGCAACCCTGGAACAAAAGAAGTAAACAGAGAAGCCCCAACGGCAGGCGAAGAGCCCGCAGGCTCACCTGCAAGGTCCAGGGCCATTGTAAAGGGTGAACAAGCGTAACGCTTTGCCAAGACATCAAAGATTGTCTAAGGAACCGTAGACATCTGTGGATACCCTCCTCTACACATGTACCACAAAATCCCGAGTATCACTCTGAGAAGCTGCTTCTTTACAGAAACAGAACGAGCTACTGGCAAGGATGGGCATGAAACAGAACATCACCGGTCAGATTTGGGGAGATGACCCACCTCCAACCACTCAGTTCAGGGTGGCCCTACCGGCCACGCCTGGCCACCTTCAAGCCCCACCAACTCACTTCACCCATAAATCAACATCCCGGCACTGTGCATCCAATCTAAATCAAGAAGAGCTGTATTCTGTGTGGAAGTTATCTTACAAATTTTGGAAGTAGAATCTCAAAAGTATTCTGAGGCTCAGGTATTCCAACTGAACACTCCGCGAACCACGGAACCCTTAGCCTTCCCCTCCTCGATCAGGAAAGTTGCCCACCGCTCGGACATAGCAGAGGCCCTCAATGCCATGAGCCTCCGCAGGCAGCTCACGCCTTCCTTGAAGGTTTGCCCGGCGGCACGCAACGTCCAGTGCACACACAGCTCCTGCCAACCGCTCTTTTGCAGGTAGAGGTGGCAGAAGCAAGGTGGGCATCGAAATGAATGGGGATCCCAACAACTTGTCAGCACTTCACATACTGTACAGTCCGGGTGAACCAAATCCTTTCGAACATGGTCAATTCAATATAAGGTGGTACTCCATCGGCAGGCTGCAGTCCTGCTCCCCTTGCGGGCTCAGGCAGGAAGACAGCAAGGAGGCCAAGACAAGCGTGCCTCGCGTGGCCGCTGAGTTGCTGGAGGGTTTCTTTCAAGATGCATTCCCTGTTGATCCTATTCTATCACAAAACATCCAGCACCCAAAGACTTGACAACTCCTCTACATTCAAAGCCAGTTGCGAACAGCGTGTTGCCAAACAGTTTAGAAGCTGAAAACAAAAACATCTGGGCAAGGATGTGTTGATCCGGCTGGCCATGTTTGTTTGACCAAAAAACCGCCTTAGCAGGGCATTCGCAGTCCCTTACCAAAAAAATCGTAGTGTGAAAGAAGTTCCTGCACGCTTAGCTGCTCGATAGCTCTCGCCAGCGATGGGTCGCTGCGTCGGAGGATCGCTGGCTGTGCTGGCTCCGCAGTCTTTGTCGTGGTCGTTCGGTGGTCTCCTCTGCAAGGGGTTTGTCTGAGCCAACTCCCACTGCAGGTGGTGTCCACAGTTGGGTGGTCCTTGTGGTGTGCGTGGTTTGTTCAAGTAAAGATCAAATAGTTCGTGCACCAAGCCCTACACCACATGAGGTTTTCATTACATTACCCTATAGAAAGTGTTCAAACGACTCCAGGATTCTGCGGTCTTTTTTCGGTATCCCAGCTGATGCAGATGTTGTTTTCTATAAACTCCATGGATCTCCTATGATCTCCTCCAAGCAACGCCAACATGCCTTTTTGTTTGACTTCGGGAGCATGACGCTGACTTCAGGTTCGTTCGAACCCACAGGCAGGTCAAAACCGGGAGAGCAATGGAAGAACTTGTGTAGATGAACAGGTTCTTGAATCCTAAGAGCTCCTACAAAAGGATTCTGATGGCACCTTCGTGTCGGTTCATCCCTCTCAGCCCAGATCCAAGAAGAGGCCCATCTGTCTCTTCCCTGTGGCATCGGCTGTGGAAAGAACAAAAATAAGATGGATGAAGGTTTCAAATTCTTCACTGTATTTCTTGTGGAAGGTTGTGAGGGCTTATCCACCTGTGTGGAGATGAATCAAAATCTGCACAGCCCACAGGGCAGTTCTGGACATAGCCCGTCTCTCCACCGTCCTCCGTTGGTGGAAAGTGAGGGCATCTTAGCCTTGGCGACAGGGCATCGAGGGCATCGCCTAAAAATGGTAGAGGCTGTTCTGGCAGGTACACCAAAACAAAAAAGCTTGTTCAGGTGAATCGCGTGGCTGACCGTTTGTATGGGTCAAAACTAAGCACCGACGAACGAGCATAGGCGAACATCCCACGAAGAAACTGTTCCACCTTGTGACAAACTGTAAATTGGGAATATCCGGGTATCATCTACTGTTGCCCAATGACTGAATCACTGAATGGTTTAAAAATGTGTTTGATTCTAGCACTACGTGGGCAGGGATCCAAGATAGGTACTTGTGGCAGCATTGTGGCGGCCATCAATTCAAGGCTGGGTCCTTCCTGTCTTCCTCATGTCAGGAACTTCATTTCAATGAAAGGAAGGTGGCGATACACACACGACATTCACAGGATATGTACTGTCGGTAAGGAAGACGGGGAAGCTCTAAACCGCCCCAAGAACTGAAGCAGCAATCTTGTGCTGCTCGGTCATTTCTGCTTGATCAAGTGGCACTTGCCGAGCAAAGGCAGGCTGAGAGCTCAAAAGCCGATAGTGTCCTCAATGCACTGATCGTGTCCGATGTTGAGTCAAGGCCGGGGCCGATGTATGATACCCCAAAGACGGGAATGGCAAATTGCCCTGGCCTGTTTCATAGTAATTAGAGAAAGTGGACAAAAAGCCAGCGGTTTGTATTTAGTATCAATGTGGACTCTCAGGGAAGGAAAAGAATAGACTACTTGGCGATGTTCCATGGTTTCAGCCTTAGCATTTACAGTAATTTGAAGCCACTTTGACTTGGGCCCAAATACCCAAATACAAAGCGATTTGATTTACCCCAACCTTTTTGAAAGATATTGAATGAAGCTAACGGCTGGTCTAGCCCATTCAAGATCATTCCCCCGAACATTGTGCCAAATAGAGCAGCAAACGTGTGTTCCTTCGGGGGGCGGTTGCAAAGAGATTCTTCTGACAACAAAACCGGTTATATACAAGTTGGAACAGAAATTCTCGGGGATAATCCAACGAACCAGACCAATTGCGACCTGTACAGTAATTTATTGACCTTATGTGACCTTATTATGCAGGTCAGATTAAGGAATGCCCACAGTTTTCCGAGCACCAAGCTGCGTAATGTGACTTCCCACTCTGAGGATGCCATGGTCGCCACGGCGAACTTGACGGAGCTGCAGGTGTGTCAAGACAACTAGTTCCTTCTGAAGGGGTTCAAAAGGATTGGAACCAACCAGTTCCTTGAAAATCATGAGAATCCCCAAGTTCCATCCATCTCAGGGCTTTAAGATGTTTTAAGCAGCTGAAGAGATTAAACCTGAGAGGTGACATGTTCATGGAGCCGATACCATCTTCTCAGCTTTCAATGGCAGCTTCAAGCCTGAAAATGGCTCGCTCACGGGAAAGTGCCTCTTTCACGCAGTTGCCTCATGACCCTGTTTTGACGGATCTTCCGATCTTCCCCTTCAGATCCACCAACTGTTTGCAAGAAAAAGAGCGAAGCAACCCAGACCCATCGGATGAATTTGCCAGCATGGTCTCAGTGGATGCCATTCACAACAAACAGGATGCACAGTACATACTAGTAGGTGTCCAATCGAAAGAAATTGAAGATCTTTGTAGACTAAAGCCAGCACTCAAACCATTCACTGTGATTGTTGGTGGCACACCTCAACAAATGTTGCCACAACTTCCGACTGCATGCAACCATGTTCGATTGCTATGCTGCCGAACTTGAGAAAGGCCTTTCAAATTTATTGGCTTCACAAAAGCAAACATATCTAAGGTTTTCCATATAGGTTTTCCCTCTCCACCCTGGCTGACCTCCATCAGTCAGTTACAGTTGTCTACCAGAATTGCTCTCTAATTGTGCGTTGTTCACAGGCCGCCCATCTGATGAGATTGGTCCACATACGCCTTACCAATGATCACTGTCCACACGACCCATGCCCAGTGTCGCGGGCCCCCGGGCTGAAGGCGTGGGGTCATTGACAGGCGCCTAGGCGGGACGTGTCTGTAATTTTCAACCAACGAATCCCAAAAATCTGCATCCTTGCGGGCACAGGATGCCGCTGTCTTTGCTTGCATTATTTATATCTGCATGTGATCGTAATCTTGGAAGCAAGTGTCGAAAAACTTAATTAATGACTTCAACATGGGCAATTAAATACATACTGCCTATTTGTTCACAAATTTGGTTACTGCATGCTACTGTACTTCAGGCGTGATTCCACTTTTAAAAAAATTACCTGCAACTATTTAAAGCTTCAATGGGCAGGTCATGATCTGTTCATGCCAGCATGCGAGTTCACCTGTGGGGTTTTCTGCTTCTTTCGGATGCTTCACTGGTTCATTGCCTTGACACAAGTTCCTTTGCGCAGTGCTGCGCAAAGCCATTGCTAGTCGCAATGTTTTCTGCCACTTGGTCTTGAAAAGGTGTCAGCTGTTCCCGATAGTTTTTCGCCTTCCCTATTCATGATCCAATCCTATAGTATGAGCAGCCCAGTTCGCAGCGGCTCCCTCTCTGGACCCAGGTCAAACCCAAGAACAGGGGAATCCAGCTGCAGCTCTGCTGGATTGTACACCTACATTGTTCCAAAGCAACACTGTATAGGTAACAGGTTTTTACACAAACGGTCACAGGCTGCAACTCCATTGAGCGCAAGGTATTGCAAACCATGAGAGGACGCGTCTCTTTGTTCTGTTTGATGCATGAACAAGGTACTGTAGTACTGAGTACTGCTTGTGAAGCATGCCTCTTCACGAGTTTGCCGCACATTGCCTTCTGTATATCAGCGGTGCTTCAGTGCCTCACCTGGGGTCGGTCCTCTGTTGGGGTACGAAGCTACATATGTCCTTGAAGTCCCGGCCAGCCCGACAAGCAAATCAACAATGCATGGTAAGCCGCATGCGCTCAATCTTGCAAAGGGGAGGTCAGAGAGCGGCGAGTGGCCATAAAACGTACCACATTTCCCAAGGCCAAAAAAATGAAACATGGATATCCAAATCATGTTGCAATGTTACACGACTTCAACCGGCAAAGCTCCAGCATCCTCGTTGGGCATGTGAGTGAAAAACATGTTTGATGTTGGTTCAACGGGTTCCTTCTTGCACACTACACTGCAGCTGTGGCCCCCAGTCGTGCATGCAATGCATGCCTTGAGGTTTCCGCTTTGGACATGTGCTCAGCATCACCCATCGGGTGAGTCCTTGGACTGTGTTGGACCCACCTTTTGAGCAAACTTGACGCAAAGGCTTGGCAGTGGAAAGGGCTTGACGGAGGAGCAACCAGCATGGCTGAGGTGCCACTGAGATTTTTCCAAAGGTATGGCACCAGGGTGGGCTTGTGGAGCAGGCATCTTCGCCGAAGGGGCATAAAACCTAGCTTTCAAAAACTGCGAGCTCTCTGAGCACAAACGGCTCGGGCCCCACCACGACGGACAACGCACAGTGCATGTCTTGGATCTCAGTTCCCAAATAAGAAGCCAAGGCTGACGCAAAGATCTGAGAAAATATTCGCCCGCTTCAAGAGCTCATGGCTTTGTCTACGAAGGCTTGGCGTGGATTGTCAAAGTAGTTCCAATGGCCACTCTGAAAGTAAGGCTGACAAATCAGATCCGGCTGACATCTTGACACTTAAAGCTGTTGTTTTTCCACACCTGCCAGGTGAGGGTTGTTAGATTTGATCAGAGCTCTTCTCCCTCCTCCGCCTCCTCGCCATGATTGCACGCGCCAGATCACAGTGGGCACTACCCGACCTCAACAGCAAGTCCCAGATCGCAGTGGGCACTGCCGGACCTCAACCGCAAGTGCCAGATCACAAGGGGCACTACCAGACCTCAACACACAACATAACCACAAACACATTATACACAATACACAACCAACAAAACACAGCCACAATACATACACAAACAAACAAACAAACAAACCACAAGCACAACTACAAGCACACAGCCAAACACAACCACAACCACAAACACACAAACACACAACCACAAACGCAACAACCACAAACACAACAACCACAAGCACAGCAACAAGCACATAACCACAATCACAAACACACAGCCACTAACACACAACCACAGCACTCAAGCAGAAACATAGAAACCACAAGCACAACCACAAACACACACACAACCACAACACTCAAACAAAACCACAAACACACAGCTACAACAATATAGTTACCTGTGTGCGTGGCATTTTGCGTGGCAGGTGGTCACAGGGTAGCACTTTTGAATGGTAAGTGGAGACCCTGGCGACACCCCGACGCGAACTCCCTGACACTCGAGGACCCACAATCCCAAACCCGAGGACCCAAAGCCACAAAATCGAAAGCCAAGTATGTAAGGAACTTCGTGGTGTACCATGGTGTACCCCAATACATGTACTTAGCTATAAATCAGGACCTGTAGCAAAGGAAAAACCATCAGATAAAGAAACATGACAACATCCACCCGTTGCCAAGGTCAGGAAAGTAGGTGAGCACCTTGAGCCAAGGTCGCTGAACATCTCTCCTCGCCGTGCTGGGCTGACCATGACGCGACACATCGTCCCGACAAGTTCACTGGGTTCGCCGACTGTAGCCGTGGAGACGCCATCACTTTCATCGCCTCGGAGAGGTTCGAGCAAGAAAAAGGAAGCATCCGATCGCTCCGTTCGGAGCGATGCCCTTTGTTAATAGTAGGCACTTGTTACTACTAGTAAGGCACCTGTTACTACTAGCGTGGCACCTGTTACTAGTAGCTTCTTGTTACTACTAGTAAGGCACCTGTTACTAGCTTCTTGTTCCTAGTAATGCCAGGAGCGCCCCTAGTAACGTCCTTGGGCACCTCGCTGAAGCCTGGTGGCGATTCTTTTATCCAATGCTTTGAGATGTCTTGTGGCTCTCACGCGCAGCTTTCAGATTCTGCCCCGGACCGGACGTGTGGGATCCGTCTCCAACAGATTTGTGCGGTTTAAACAATAGACATGAAAAGGTATCCAAGAATTTTACCTAAGTGGGTCAGTGTATTACATTGGAAATCTGTAGAAACACAAAATAAAAACAACAGGGTTCACCTCACCACAGTAGCCTCCCTAAAGAATCGATTCCAAGCAACATACAGTAAATCAATTGGTGGGTATCGATGTGTTTTCCAATCGTAATTGAGCATGTACCATCAAGTAGCGCCCATGCTCTCTCCCTTTAAAATCAAGGTCTTGACAACAAAATCTGATATCCATCCAGGATGAGGTCCCCATCAGCAGTATCAGTTGATATACAATGATATACACACTATTCATTTTCACGTTGGATAGTTGAGGGAATATCCAGATACAACCACTGACCACTCAACATGCCCCAACTCTCAGGCATCGGCCGCCAATGGAGGGAGCGCGCGGGGCGTGCCCGCACCCTCGTCTCGCGCAGGTGCTGACGCCTCACAGGAAGCTTTGAGAAATCTTCAGGGCTCAATTGTTGGAGTGGTTGGAGTGAAGATGCTCAGCCCACTGTGTATTGATGGTTCCAGAATGCAGGATTTCTTCCAGACATTCTGGGACATTCTAAAAAATCCAAGGGAGATCACTGTTACAGGGCAGCTCCTTACCAAATAGTACACCGTTGGGTCATGTTGGGTCAGCAACACAGCTGCGTAAGCCAAAATCATTACTCTATTCAGGTGTAAGGCAATGTAAGCCATGGAACTCATTGTGGACTTTCGTCAAGGAGGAAGAAACCAAACTGAGCGTTTCAACCCAAATCACCATACCTGTCTAATTCATAATGCTGAGAGTATGGATGAATATGCTGAGAGTATGGGTTGCTAACTGGCTTGCTCACAGTTTCAGGCCGAATCCCGGGCGACTCCGAGTCGCCCCGAGCCTTTGAGTCCACGAGCCTCAAATGGGCGGAAAGGGCGCCGAAAGAACGGACCTGCACCGGATCCCAATTGGAGAAGCTCCTGGACCACAAAGGCCAAATACAGTAATTCTGACTGCTGACTGGTAGGCTCTTTCAATCATGTACAAACACATCTGGTGTGAACTTCAAGTCATGGGATCTCATTCCTTGAGATTCCTCGACTCTTAGACTCTTGTGATGAACACGTGAGGTAAATTTGGGCTTGTTACTGGGGCTCGTGTCACAGTTCTGTGGGAATTGACTTCTCCCCCACATGAACACAGCCAAGCGAGCTTGCAACCTACGGGCATTGCTGGCTTATGACGTGGACCCCTCATAGTATCTGCACAGACCCTTTGCAAAAATATTTCAATTCCTGACCTGGTTGAATTTCTAGCCCAAGCTCCAGCTCACACTCCCAAAAGCCTTCCTCTTTTCCTCTGCATCGTGGGCCTTCTCTGCTTTACCAGTGCTGTTCTCACTCTCCGACTCCAACTGCTTCCACTCTCCTGCCTCTTCTTCCCGATCACTCTCCGCATCAAACGGGTTGGTGGCCACGCCCAGCTCCGGCACCGCCACGCTGACGGCGGCCGTGACCGCGGCCGGCGGGGTCGTCGACGAGGCCGCGCGTGTCTCGGGAGCGGGCGCTGCCGCAGGTGCCACAGCCGCGTGGGCGGAGGCGGGCGAAGCATCGTTGAGGAGATCGTCGGTGAAGGGGTTCAGGGCATCGGCGTAGCCGGCCGGTGGCTCAGCAGGACCTGGAGGGTGCAAACTGGAAGACGAGATGCGATTGTACAAATGGTCCTATTATGTCCTATTTGGGGTTGGGAGGTTTCACCTGGAAAAAAAATAGTTGCATGTTATTGTTGCTATAATTAGTCCTTAGCGGAGCTCACTTTGCGGAGCACTGCGGCCCAACCAGTCAAGTCTGGAACTGTTCACCATCTTGGCTTTGCTAGTCACGGATGGAACTAGATGATATTAAAACAACTGCAGGAGCGGGTAAGGTTTTTAGATGTTTCAGTTTCTGCAGCAGAGGGTTTTCATGGGTTTTCTCGTGTCTTCTCTCTTGACACCCTATGTCCCCACCAAAGCATGGCCAAATACACCCAATGGGCCAACTTGCGATTTCACCTGCCCTTCAAAAAGCACCTAACCCCGGCGTGAGTGCCCCTTCACGTCTGTGGCGTGAGTGCCCTTCCGCTGTGGCGTTCGGACTAGGGGCGCGCCAGGGCGGAGGCGGTTTGGAGGGCACCCGAGAGGGTGGAACTCCATGTGTCGGAAATCTCCCGCAAGCGCGAGCGCTTGGCCCAGCAGGCACGCAGGGACTCCTGACAGAAAAAGGGAAGCAAAATAGCTACAGTACGTAGTTGTGAAAGAAACCTGGGCTAATCCAAAGACCCTGATTTCAAAATAGATGTTGTGCTCCTGTGGGGTTGCCCTGAAACAGCCGAGCGGAATCCTAGAAGCCTATAATATAGATGTCTGATGTCTGCAAACTCGACGAAGTGCAGTCTTTCCATGAAGAAATTAGGACCGACTTTAAGCTCATAGCAAAGACCAAATCTTCTCTGCAGTGAAACCAATCTTGATCTCCTGTGCCGCAGCCTCAGCCGTCTTGGAGGACTGAGAGGCTTGCTGTAGTTTCTCATGGTTGCGGTCCACCTTTGACTGGAGGGCTGGAGAGCCTGGGCGCGAAAAGGCTCCTTGAAAAACATGTCTTAGGCTTTAGGTATGAGATGGTAGTTGCCAAGTAGTAGCCTCTAGGCTCATCAAGATTTTTTCAAGTTAATCACTTCTTTCCACATGGTCAAAAGCCATCCTCAATCCATCCTCAGGATGTACAGTACTTCCGACACCAAAGCATCCTGAGGAAGTCCTAGACCCAAAACATCCTGCGGGCATTCACCTGGACCCAACGGCCCGCAAACATGACCCGCTGACTGCCTCAGTTGCATCAGTTGCATTCCTTCTTCCTCCAGCGCAGACCCCCGTGCCCAATGTTCATTCCGGCGCCTTTCCGTTTCACCTCCTCGTCCAGCGTGGTGACCTTCAGTGATGAACATTGAACATCCCACGCTGACGAAGGTCTGTGCCCGGAGGAGATGCAAAGGCAGTCGCTGTTGAACCCATTTGTTCATTCCTCTACGAAAACAAACACTTTCTGGAAGAAACGGGTCGCCCTCCTAGGAAAGCTTTGAGGATGAGAACTTCCTGTATGAAGGTGGGGTGACCAACACGATCATTTGGGCTGTAAACTTTTTAGGGGATTTGTCTTAAACCAGAAACATACAAGAAACAGCCCCCCAACCCCATCACTGGGGTTGTTTTGACAAGTAAAGGACTTCCCGTATGGATCTCCCACTGGAGGTTCGGCCAACCCCACCTTATCCTCATAGTGCTTCTGCAGGGCACGTGCCTCCAGGCCAGTTACATGCAAAGTGTGTCAACAGCATGTTGGCTGGTCCAGCCAGCACCGAATGCACCAAGTGCAACTCATCCAAAATATGCGCGACGGGATCCAACGGTCTTGGCTCAGCGCGAATTCAATTCGCACCAACATCTTCGAAAATAGATGAAAATAGAGATAATAAAGGCCAAAACATGCCAAAACAAGTTCTTAAGACATCCCATTCCCTTCCGATCAGCCTCATCCACCTCCTTGACCTTCTGTGCACAGGTCATCAGCTGTGCGCCATGCGCTTGCAACGATGGCTTCACAGCGCTGGCGCCCTCACGCAGGGAGGTCACCAGGGAGCGCAAGGCTCGGTGCAAAGCGGAGAACTCTGGGCAGAGGGCCTCCTGGGTGGGTGGATCGTCGCGAGGTGGTGGTGGAGTTGGGCGACGTGGGAAATTCCTCAAGACTTAACTGGCGTCCTCGCTCCTAGTAGCGATGCCAGGAGCCCCTAGTAGCGTCCTTGTTACTTGGAAACTGGGCTGCGGATCTTGCTGGACCATCTTCCAGGACCCGACTGGAAGCAGAGGTCGTCTTGTGGGGTCATCGGAAATCGTCGGAAATGAAATCGAGGAGACCTCACCCAAAAAAAACACATCGTTGAAGATCTATTTTAGGGTGAACCAACAAATTCATTGCATAGAGCCAAAAAGAGCAAAACAAACGCACGTTTCCAGCAAAATGGGCCCTATTTCTGATCCATGCAGTCACATGTCCATCTTGGTGAATGAGAATTCGTACCCTCTTTCTGTTCAATGATTGTCATTGTCTTTTGTTTGGAAGCAAAGCCTTCTCTACCCAAAGCCTCCAGGTCTCTGAAAGTAGTCCCACTGCCTTGGGGGCCTTGGGCCCTCCAGTCTCAAATACCCTCCATTCTCTCCAGGCTTCAAGTCCCAAATCTATCAGGGACTGATGAGCTTCCAGCAGATTGTAGGAAGCAGTTTCCAGCACCTTGCCATAGGCGTCCAGAGCCTCAGTCACCTTCTGTTGAAACTCCAGCTCTTGACGTAGCCTCAGACGAGAAGAAGGCGCTCAGTCAGGTGTGTATCTGTGTATCTATGTAGTAAACGTATATCGAATGGATTGATTGCTCCGGTAAACTTGTCAGCGAAGGTAAAATAGCTAGAAACAAGCTCATAAATCGCCAACCTGACCAACACCGAATGCTATAGTTTTTTAATGGCTAGTGACGCGCTATGTTGACGGGTCTCCAATTCCAGATCTCAAACGAACCGGTTTATTCCGTCAAACACCCCGGCACATCCCCACAACCTGACAGCCTTCGGGCCCAAAACGGAGCGAGACGAGACGAGTGGCTCCTGCTCATCCGAGGACACGGCGCTCTTGTCGGACTCCAGACCGACCCATTGTCGGGTGCAGGAATGCCTTTGCAATTTCTGCTTCAGTGCCTTCATGGCAAAGAAGGCACGGTGCGGCTGTAGACCGGAAGGCTGTCAGCCAAGTAGGTGAGGGTTCTTTGTCCAAAGAGTGCACAGAAGAGTCAATAAACACGGAGTGCACGTGTACGCTTGAAGTACCTAAGCCTTAGCCTTAGTAGACTAGTTGGCCGAACAAATCATAAACTCATGGCCTCTTGCAACGTCTTTGACGGTGTTTGAGCAAAAGACTTCAATGGTCAAGCGCTCGACACAAGTCCAAACTTAGACTTGAGAAAGCCTGTGACACCAATCAGTGAATTATAGGATTTGGACGAGTAGGGCCCAAAGGAGGTTCTCCTTGAAATTGAGTCAAGCCAATGTGTCATCTGATTCCTTCCTGGGTAATTACATGCAGCATGGCACGTGGAGCTGGGAAATGGATAAAAACGAGTACAACACACCAGCTATCTCAGCTGCACAAAAGCCCATCGCTGAATATCTTTAGTCTACCAGTCCACAAATGTTCAAAAGGACTTTCAAAAGGCTCTTGCGCAGTTTCTCCTCATATAGACTGAGTCCCTGAGAAAGGTGTACGATAATTTGTCACATCAACTCTCGCTTGCAAAGGGTCTAGAACCATTGAACGCCCACGCAAGCGCTGTTTCTATGTTCTGTCGAAACGGTGTGTGCAAAGAAATACTATTTCTCAAACAGCAATACCGGAATGACAGTCATTTTTCTAGGTTAACTAGAGGGCAACACATTGCAAAACCAAATGAATAATACATTTCTTGGTCTTATAAAGCACATCAGCATCCGGCCCACAGCACAAGTCATTCTCGCATGCACCCACTCTTCGCGCATTGGATGCCAAGGTTCTGCTTAAGCTTCTGTGTGTCGAGACCTACGCAGATCAGCGCGGAAAAGCACAAGCATTCAAGCGAGTAGATCCTGAAGAAACATGTTCAAGATCTCCTCCACTAAACTCCACGATATGAGTCTCAGGACAGCGCATCTATGTGACTTCAGAACTTTGTGCGACAAAATCGACCCATTCCTTCCTGAACTACAAAGCACAGCAGCTGCGTCAACATCAAGAGGTGGAAATCTGGGGGTGGAAAGCTAGTGCAGCTAGTGCAGCAAGTCACAATCCATTCCTGAAGATTCTGGGAAGAATCACTGACTCTGGGCCACAACAACGCCTTGGATTCTCAACACCCGAGTTCAAGTTGATGAGGGCCAAAGCAAGGTAAGCAAGCATCCAAAAGTCAAGCGCCCCATGCTCCCCACTGTTCTTTCGTCTTCCCTAGCCCGCCTGGGACCACAGCTTCTCGTGCTTGCTGCAAGTCTGACTCGATCTTCTGAATCTTAGCAGGGCCACAAAGCTGTCAATGGGGAGACAACTCCATGTTTTGAGCTCTACAACCTTCAGAGATCTATTCATTTGATTGAACGGTTTGAGGCTGAGGGTAAGAAATCAATCAAACTGTTTCCTTGCAGGATTTCAATCTGGAGGCTGGTGATTGATCAAGTTGAATCTAGTTTCAACAGCTGGCGAACCTCATTATACCCCAATGAGCCCGTACAGTAGTCAACCAATCACACATCATCCATCCTCATCTCCAACTTCCAACCTCAAACATTTCCACTGTCGCCCACCCAGGGCCACGGGGCCCCGCACCAGCTCAGCAGCCTGCCCCAGAACTGCCACAGGCGTGCGCACAGCAGCTGAAGTGGCCTGTTCATGGCTCCACAGCACTTTTTCATGGGAGTTTGGATGGGGTTGGCTTGTAGTTCAGGCCGATTCTCTGCTGACAAGGATCACCTGACACGGAGAACCCCGTGAAATCCTCACACATGAACAGTTGTATAAGTTAACTGGTTCTTACAACAACCAGGTAGTCTGGTTCCAAGACCCACATGATTACAAGAGAAGCCATCCTTTGGCAAAATTCCAAAAATATGTCAGTTCTGCGAGAGCCACCTGAACCAGTTTTCACTGTGCTATAAATACTCTCTGACCCTGAAGAGCCCAAAACAAAACAGATCACTACCATCCATCACCAGGCGTTCTGAAGCCCGCCTGAAGCCGATCTCTGATATCTAGGACCAGAGGTTGCCAGAGGTCAGTTGCAGGGTTCAAGCTTGGGTGTCACAGAAGCACCGCTCTTGCTGATATTCCATGGCTTGTCAGGAATTCTATAACCGTGGTTTGACAGGGAAAATACAACAACACTATATATATATAACATCATATAACACTCTAAGACCTAGGAGAGATTCTTTGACTTGGACTTCTCTTCTTTCATAAGCCATCCTTGCACTTGGATCTTTATGTCCAAACCAGCAACATCAGCAGGTGACGCGTCATCAAACCATCAACCCTTTCTCCTGACCTCCGGCCCCTCGACCTCCGCTCCTGCACTCATTGCAGGGCGGACACGGGTCACAACTTGCACGACTGGGGTCCCTCTTGGGAGATTGAAAGACGAGTGACGTTCGCTTAGTAATCATTTGATGTGGTTTCACTCCAGATTGAGGTGAAGAAACATCTGTTGACCCTTTGGTGGAGCCAAGCTTGCCAGTGGAGAAGCTCCTTTTGACCAAAGCACGATGCATCCTCCAACAAACCAGGCATGTCTCAAAGTACGGAGATCTTACGTATGGTTTGCATAACGCGCCACTTTGTAATGGTGGATCACCCTTCCTTACCAAACCTCATGCAGTGGACACATGGCCAGTTTGTGCCAAAGCCGCACCAAGGGATGATCAACAACAATGCCTCTGCTTTGTCAAACCACGCGTCTTCAAGTAAGCATCTTCTATTTGTTGAACGAGGAAGCCACATGTCCACGAGAAGCAGCCGCAGAAGCACCCGTCATCTTTCGTCTTTCCGGGTCGGTCCTTCCAGCGCTGAGACCTCGGGTGGAAGCTCCGTTCGGGGCCAGGCAAGGTCGAACCGGGGCCACTGAGGAAGGGGGCACCACGGATGGCATGGCCCTATGGTTAAACAGAGGACCCGAAAATCGGAAGACCAAACAGGTAGCAAACTCCACTTCACTTCGATGATTCCATGGAGGTGTTGTTGGTGCCCTTAGGGAGACCCAGCGAGGAATGCAACTTCAAATCCCGCAAAGCCTTTGTTCCAGCAATCCCGCAATCCCATCACACTGAGTCAACCATGCGGATCTCAAGGGTCATCCAGGTGGAGGGGCTTGTTAAATCCCTTTCAATTTCAATGCCTCTGAAGAGGTTGAAGGGGCCAAAAAAGGACCAGTGAGACGTACACAAGCACCATATACGACCCCCTCTGGGTCTGTGTATATCGTTTCTGTGGGTGAACAGTGTTGCTACATACTGCCCATCATGCTGCACACTGCTACCCCTAGAGGCAAGAGGCCCTCTGCTGGAGATCCAAGAGCATCAGTTGAATGTCACTCAGCTCCGCCTCGCAATGAGATGCACAGAGATCACAAAGGAGGAGACCTATGCTGGTCTGTGACACATGTAAATCATCTCTTTTTTGAGGCAGTTCCAGTTCCGGGAATTGCAAACCTTTCCAGGCAAATCATTTCATCCTGAACATAATGGTAGCTCATCACCCAGTTGCTCTGCTCCACCTCGTCCTCATGTTCTGGACGGCTGGCCTCCCATGTTCCGTGACAGAAATGCTGGGCCGCCACGAACATCGACCCGTCGACCCGTCGAACCCACCGGGGGGTGCCGAAACGACCAAACGCAGCAATGGGCCAAATCGACACAGAAGCTGAAGCTGTCTCATTCTGGGTCAAAAGCATCATGATGCTTTTTCAGAAACACATCCAACTTCTCATTAGGGACCCACACAGGGCCACACGAAGTTCATCATGAGGTCGTCCCTTTGGGAAAAATACACATGAAAAAGCACAACGTATCTTCCATAATCTTCATTCATCTTCTGATATCTTCCGTACCCCCAATAAACTCAACAAATTGCAGGCCTTGGGCAACAGCAGCTGCGAGGCCGTCGCTGCCTCGTGCAGCGGCTCGCGTCGGAGAGAGCGGAGCTCCTGCGGCAGGGCTCAACAGTCCGATGCTGAGCAGCGAAGACGACGAGGTGGCTAGAGACTCGGTGGACACGCACCTGCTGCTGCTGCTGCTGCTGCTGCTGCTGCTGCTGTCCCACCTAATACTGATCCCAGGTGACTTTTGGCTGGGCAAATACCCTATCTGTTAGGAGCCTATCGAAAGCTTTGATCCGCTGCCAACCCCAATAAAGCGCATCATCGCTGGCGTGGCCAAGTCAGTGTCTGTATCAGCGATGACAAGAATGTTACAAGTCACTTACAGACCTGATGTTGGTCGATGTGCCACCTTTCTGTCGTCTGGCTGTGCATCCCTTGCAGATGGGTCTGTCTCTGTTGTCACCGGCGATGTCCAGGGCACCACTGGCGATGTCCACGGTAATGGTTTTGCCAAAGTCTTCCAGTGCGCATCGCAACCAAACACCAGCGGTCTTGAAGCGTCTTAGTCTTAGTCCTCGATTTGTTCTTCGCATCTTGTCATTCGCTTCAGGGCATCTGAAAGATCTGAGCTCTCTTCAGCCTGGTGTTTCGACATCTTGCTTCTCTTTGAATCACAGTCAGGAACTGTATAAGGAACAAAGCGGATGTGCGCAAAGATACAAAAAGTCCCTATTTCTCAGGGTTCACACATATTCAAAAGGTAACAGCAAAATGACATATAAACAACCGATCACTGCAAGCACCACGTTGTGAAACCCCTGCAAGCAAACATATATTGGAGTACCCAATGCAAGGCGGGCCTTTGGCAAAATGAGCTCTGATGCCTGGTGCTTTTCAAGGTCCTTCCGGAAATCCTGAGCGTTAAACTCTGACAGCCACTGTACAATGAATCGCAAGAGCCTATGTGAATTATGTGACCGTAAAGCCGTAAACTTCACAACTCAAGCTGCAAGTCGAGACTCAAACAATTCAGAATTCTGTTGCATTGAAGTTCTCATGTTGTGACTCTTGAAACTGCCTTTGGGGTTCTAAGCATTCTAAGGAAACATCCTGACAGACCGTAGGAAACGACAGCACATCAACGTACCGAAACGAAACAATGCCACAATCTGAGCGATACATATTCTATGATGTTCTATGTATAAGAATTGCAGCTGAGTCTGAGTGAAGTACTCATCAGCCCCCACAACCCATCAAACATCTATCAGTTTCCATTGTCCTCGATTTGTTCTTCGCATCTTGTCATCCGCTTCAAGGCTTCTGTGAGATCTGAGCCCTCTTCCACCTCGTATTCTTTTGCAGGAATTCTGGGGCTTGTTGCTTTGCCATCCATTGCACAAATACTTCCAGGAATGTGGATGAATAAGTTTGTCAATATGCAAGGCTGAAGGACCTTCAAAGAATATGCAAAAGTGGAAATGTCGAACTGGCCCTTTACAAGCTGCGAGCACGATTAAATAGCACTTACCTATATATATATATACATGACTTGCAGCAAACCTCCGGCCTACTAATCATGCTGGATTTGTTTACGCTGCTAGAACTCTTCCAAACCTTGAGTCAAAACAGAATGTACGTAAGTAACCCATTGCAGGGCGGGCCTTTGGCAAAATGAGCTCTGATGCCTGGTGCTTTTCAAGGTCCTTCCGGAAATCCTGAGCGTTAAACTCTGACAGCCGCTGTACAATGAATCGCAAGAGCCTATGTGAATTATGTGACCGTAAACCTGCAAGTCGAGACTCAAACAATTCAGAATTCTGTTGCATTGAAGTTCTCATGTTGTGACTCTTGAAACTGCCTTTGGGGTTCTAAGCATTCTAAGGAAACATCCTGACAGACCGTAGGAAACGACAGCACATCAACGTACCGAAACGAAACAATGCCACAATCTGAGCGCATACATATTCTATGATGTTCTATGTATAAGAATTGCAGCTGAGTCTGAGTGAAGTACTCATCAGCCCCCACAACCCATCAAACATCTATCAGTTTCCATTGTCCTCGATTTGTTCTTCACATCTTGTCATCCGCTTCAAGGCTTCTGTGAGATCTGAGCCCTCTTCCACCTCGTATTCTTTTGCAGGAATTCTGGGGCTTGTTGCTTTGCCATCCATTGCACAAATACTTCCAGGAATGTGGATGAATAAGTTTGTCAATATGCAAGGGTGAAGGACCTTCAAAGAATATGCAAAAGTGGACATGTCGAACTGGCCCTTTACAAGCTGCGAGCACGATTAAATAGGACTTACCTATATACATGACTTGCAGCAAACCTCAGGCCTACTAATCATGCTGGATTTGTTTACGCTGCTAGAACTCTTCCAAACCTTGAGTCAAAACAGAATGTAAGTAACCCATTGCAAGGCGAGCCTTTGGCAAAATGTGCTCTGATGCCTGGTGCTTTTCAAGGTCCTTCCGGAAATCCTGAGCGTTAAACTCTGACAGCCGCTGTGCAATGAATCGCAAGAGCCTACGTGAATGATGTGACCGTAAACTTCACAACTCAAGCTGCAAGTCGAGACTCAAACAATTCAGAATTCGGTTGCATTGAAGTTCTCATGTTGTGACTCTTGAAACTGCCTTTGGGGTTCTAAGCATTCTAAGGAAACATCCTGACAGACCGTAGGAAACGACAGCACATCAACGTACCGAAACGAAACAATGCCACAATCTGAGCGCATACATATTCTATGATGTTCTATGTATAAGAATTGCAGCTGAGTCTGAGTGAAGTACTCATCAGCCCCCACAACCCATCAAACATCTATCAGTTTCCATTGTCCTCGATTTGTTCTTCGCATCTTGTCATCCGCTTCAAGGCTTCTGTGAGATCTGAGCCCTCTTCCACCTCGTATTCTTTTGCAGGAATTCTGGGGCTTGTTGCTTTGCCATCCATTGCACAAATGCTTGGAGGACTATGGAGGAATAGCGAAATCTCAAAGTTCTTCATGGGTGAAGAACTGGGTGAAGATCGAGAAGCCAATTGTCGGAACAGAATGAGGAAATGGAGCAAAACTATGCAAAACTAGCTTGAACCGCGTGGGAGCAAGACAAGACCTGCAACCTTTCAATGCTATTTTGAGAAGGTCAAGTTGATCCAATTTGTGTGTGGAGTGGCTCGCAACAGGGAGGGGACACCAGCAAGCGGATGTGATAGGCCGCGGCCGGGGGGCTTATTATACTTTGCAAGAACTTGTCTTGGTCAATGTCACGAGATCGCAACAAATCGCAACGACTCACGCGACTGGACTTGGAATTGTACCTTGCCGCTCGTTGATGCACCGGCGAGCAAATCCTAAGTCAGCAAGGGGGCGGTTTGGAGGAAGAAAGGGCAAGCCGACGATGCCGCACGTGTTTCAGGCGACTCGTCTCAAGACGCGTACTGTAGGGGTCGGATCCCTAGGATCTTCTTCCCCCGGGTGCGTTGAGCAACTTCCTTGGAAGTTTGGATCGTAGCCACGACAGAAGCATAGCAGGAGTGCAGATGGCTTTATTTATGGGACACCTTGGCATGATTACACAATCGAATTATCGGAGTCTAAGTGTATGGTAGGAGGACAAATCATGAGGACATCCACCCAATCTTGGTGGCTCTGCTCGGGAGTTGAAACGCAATGTGTCATCAGTCCACTTTGGCGCGCCATCGTGCCAAGTCATTTCCCTCAAGTGTGTACCTTGAGACTGTCATACTGCCAAACACCTCCTTAGGTATAGGAGAAAACTTGATTGATTGAACCTGGAAGTCTTCACCCGGCAAGAAGGTAAAGCTGTTGAATTTCTAGAAGGCGGCATAGCTGAAGAAGCGAGAAGGATACGTAATTAAAGCTCCTGCAATCTATCAATGAACTGGGATACCCTCAAGGTGATGTGGAATGCAGTTTAAAAAATTAGCCAAATCAAACATACTCGCTCAGTGGTTCTACAAGAGACATCTGCCGCATCTGCCTGTTGGCATCGGCCTCATGGATTTCCCCCACCTGAAGGTCGGTGTTTGCAGGCAAAAGGTCAACCTGCTCTTCGCATCTGGCTATCCACTGCAAGGCTTCAGCCTGGGCACGTAGTTCGGCACTCGGCTTTACTCACTTCATGAGGTCGCCCAGTTCCTTTAGATCCCTTTAGGTCTTGGCTTTCTAAATCTTTATAATAAACGATATATAAATAATGATTAGGTCTCCATAGGTCTCATTATGAGGTCGCCATTTTCCCGGTACACACGTTCCCTGCGAAACTTTACGGGTCGGGAAAAACGGAACAGTGCGCAGGATGTGTTCGACTCAGGGACGCCCTCCGTCCCTCCCCAGGCTTGGCTCGTTGTTGAAGCGGAGCCACCAGAAGAAAAGGTCAGGAACAAACACGTTGGCAATTCAACTCATTGAACACTGTTCATTCACAAAACGGTTGAGTTTTGTTTGACCTTGAGTCCTTGAGCGAGTACAGATCACCAACATCCCAGATTTCGCCAACACCTGCGGATGAAACATCCCTTGATGGCCTCCGGAACTCGCAGCTCCTGTGGGGCGGACATGGCCCGGGGGTTTGAAGAAACAGGGATTGCATTCAAGTTCACGTTCTTTTCACTAAGAAAAGGGGACATGGGTTGTGGCAAAGCGCCCAAAGGGCGCCAGTTTCTACAAAGAAGCCCATTCTGCCATTCCATCTTGAGGGGTAAGGCCTGTGCTGCATATATTCAAACCAAGCTCGACCAGTTGCTGTATCTCACAGGTCCCTTGGTCACGCATCGTTTTTCTACCAGGAGTTCGACTCGCGTGAGGGAGCATGTAGTGCAATGTAGTGCGGCAGTTCTGCGAGTGCCCTGCATCTTCTCTCAGTACAAGGCTTAGCAAAATGAGCGTGCCACAGCGGTACTGCGTTGCGTTGTATGTTTGATATGTGTACTGAAATTAGTGTATATGAATATGTGTGTAATGGCACCTGTCATGTGCACATGTGTAAGATCTCAAGCAGATCCTGAAGGACGTTGGAAGGAGAAAAGGCCTATTACGGGGGTGTTTGTGCTTTGCGCTGTGGTGAAGTATGGGGTGCATTTTGCATATCCTCTTACTTGCAGGGGCACCTAGAACAAAGCCTTCAAAACAACGATTCACATCAAACTCACCTGAGACGGCTTGTCCCCGATTCGAGATCAAATATTGTATCTCTATAGTTTATGGGTCCCATTGCGTTATTTTTTTTCAGTCACTAATCTGGAGAATCAATATCGGCAATCTTGAACTTTCACAACTGGAAGGCAAACAAGATTCGTCTCTCAGTCTCTGAGTCCATGTTTATTACATAAGGGTGACCATCTGTCAGTGTGCTGCTGGGGTATGTTAGGGTGTTTATCCTAATATGCCAAACTGTGACTGTGACTCACCACTGCAGTTCCTGGAGAAACAGCCTACCAAGCGCACCAGCTTTTGCACGTAGAAGCTTGGATTTTTTGCGTTTTTATCTTCTTCAAATTTCCAAGGAAACACCAAAGCTAAAGGGTGGTGAGAGTAGTGAATGGCCACCAGTCCTCAAGCTAATGGTCTTTCTGTTTAGGCTCATCTGCTAGCTGGTAGCTACTAAATTATCACTGTGTTGCACTGCTGGACTAAAAGACTTAGGGTATTGTCAAACGTACATGTTACAAATTATATACATAAATAAATGATCCAATTTCTTTGCATGAACCATGTCAAGGTCGTCGTGTCAACAGGAAGTATGGAGAAAAGATCAATGCTGATACCCACTCTCATTGCTTAGGTCAACCTCCCATGGCAATCAGTGAGCCTCAGATTGAACAAAGGCCGTGATGCCGCCCACACATGACAAAATGTGCTTAAGCGGACAATTTCAAGTGAATCCTTTAAAGGCGGAGCCAAGGTGTCAAATGAAATCAGACAGTGACAGTAGTTGCCGCGCGTCGTCAACCTTGGCCATGGTCCTCTGCGACCTGACAATAAAAACTTTAGTCACTAGTCATAGATTCATAGACCCTGCACAAACCTCTCTGTGATCTTCTTCCAGCAGTGAGTCCATTTGGCTAGATGACACTCTAAAAGAGCACATCTGCCACAACTACAAGTAGTATGACCCCAAATAGATTTCAAACTAAAAGTGCTGGCCTGTCGTATTCTATTACATGAATTTATGCTGGTACATGAGCGTACATTGATTCATGTAGTTGGCTGGCGGCTGATAGAACGCCGCCAGCTTTTCTTCACGTTTTTGCTTTTCAGTTGATGCTACGTTGGGGGTGGGGTGGGGTGGGGCATGTTAACGTTCGCTGGCACTTACGTCGTGAAGTTGATGCTACGTTTGGGATTGGGGTGGGGTGGGGTGGGGTGGGGTGGGGCATGTTAACGTTCGCTGGCACTTACGTCCTGAAGTTGATGCTACGTTGGGGATACGAACACTTGACGCACTTGTGGAAGCAAAGGAGACAAAATGAAGTAGTTTGTCCGGACGTTCTGGGTCATCCATTTTCACATAAAGAGAATAATTCATTGCAAAAACCCCACACGAAAAGAAACTGTCATGATGATAAAACTAAGCGGCGTTCTATCAGCCGCCTACCATGTAGGGTCATCGCTGATCTTCATCCAGCTACGGCCCCCCCTGGGTGACTCTCCGGCCGTGATCCGGGGATCCTCTCCTCCAGCCTTTGCTCCAGCCGGGCCACTTCCCGAAACGCCTTCTCCAACGCGGCCGAAAGCTCCTGCGCCTCGGCGCTGAAAACGCCAAAAACGCCTTTCTCCGAGGAACGTGACGGTGGTTCTCGGTGCTTTGGAGTTCTCTGTGTTGGTGAAAATGACAGATCGACGTACCAGCGAGTGCTAGGTGCGTTGCTTCTGGGTCGTCAATCTCTTCATTTTGTTGTTGCCCTTGCTTGCCTCCTCTGGTTATTGTTTTTGCCAAACCCTGATCAACTCCAAACAAAACCTTTTGGTCATGCTGGTTCATACGGCAGTTGGTCCTTGCCACTGGCCACGCAAAGAAAAATATGGATAGCCATCAAAACTATTCAGGACCAAAAACCTTGTGAACCTTCTGATTTTTATTTATAATCCGATGATAATCATTATGCTGTTGCGCATGCGAAGGAGCGAACAGTTGGTTCCACACTACAACAGAGGCCTTGAAAACCGCCTTTCACCCGCTATGCTTGGTTCAGTGTCTTGGTCGACCGGGTTGTTATACCATCCAACAGCACCAATGCCAACCAACGGAGGCACTGAGGGCAAGAATGATACCCTAGGCCGGCCCTAGGTGAGGATGAAAATGAACAACGCAACACACACAAACACACACCATGTCATCTACCAAAGCAATCATAGCTCACCTCCATGGCCAAAAGGGATGAACGGACCACTCAACACTCCAGAACAAAAGCTGTGGTGCCTGCGTACGCATAGGGGACATATGGGGCCATGGCTCGAAACTAGTGGTCGCCAAGGGTAAACAATCGAACAGCTAAATCAATTTGTGTTCTTCCCATGTTTAAAACCTCATCTAACCCTGCAAATCTGAAAGGCCCCAAGTTTCGAACCCCCAAGAGCTGGTCCTCTAACTTTACCTGGTCTTCTGCACACCTGACAGTTCCCCCTTCCCTGTCACCTCCAGCTGATCCAAACGGTGGCCCTGCTGTTGCACATCGCTTTGCAACTCCTGTCGGAGAAGATTGGAGGTACAGCTGACAACCCAGGTAAGTGATGGACTGGTTAGTGAAATGTGATGCTAAAGTGACCAAAGCCATTTAAACAAAGCTCTGTTCGAGAAGCATGGAGGACAGTTGGCGGAACAGCTCAACCAGTGACTAAGACCACAATTTGCTATTCGCTTAGAGGTACTTTGTCTCTTCCATGAACCTCTGTACAGTAGAGGCCGATACACCACTGCAAAGTGCCATAGGTACCACAACCACTGGCTTCACAGGCTTAGTATGAAAAGCTTCAACAACCCAAAAACCATCAAAAACCTTGGGCTGGGTGGGCTTACCCCATCTGCTTGTCCAACCCACCTAACATCACCTGACCCACCTCCAATCGACTCGATCCTTCTCCAACTGCTCGCACAGGGCGACACGTGACTCGAGCAGCGCGTCGTGCGAGTCGTGGCTCGGAGCGTGATTGGCCTGGCTCGATGAGCGCGGGGAGTTCCGGAGGAGCGGTCAGAACGGCCTGTTCCGGAGGGACATCCACATCAGCTAAGACTGCTAAGGTGGCGATGTTTAACACCAAGGGGAGACTCTGATGGAAGGGCTCAATATGGCTCAATGCATCTAGGCCTCCTAGGTTTCTTGAAGGATCCAAGCACCATTGGCTTAGTGATCATTCGGAGCTTGCTCTTGGCCCGTCTGTTGGGAGGTCGCTGATTGATCACCTCGGTCACCCCCTCGATATGGATAGGGCATGATAGGGCATGTGCCACAAAACAATTCTAATACAGTACTGGGGAAACACAGTATAGTAACCTTCGAACAGGGGCATGTCTGGCGCGGCAGGGTGCCTCCAGGTATGCGAGCCCAACCGTGTAATATGGGCCCACCGGGGTGTTCCGGGATGAATCGTTTGACATGTGTGGGCTGGTTTCCAGACTATCTCTAGCTTGGTCACGTCTCGTTCCACCTTGTCTGGTCCACCCACATGGTGACCCCACACCAGGTCCATGTGGCCTCGAGCGGCGCAATGGCACCCGGCTCGGCATCCACAGGAGGCGGAGCCTTGGGCAGATGGAGCGATGATGAGGGGGGAGCAAGGGCATCGCTACTAGGAGCAAGGACGCTACTAGGGGCTCCTGGCATCGCTACTAGGAGCATTCTTACTACTAGTAACAAGAAGTTACTAGGGGCTATACAGTCGGGGGCCTTGCATCACAGACCTGACAGGCCTTGCACATCCAAGAGATTTGTAGAGTCCAATGTGCCCCTGGATCTGTGGGCCTTGCTCACACCATCCTACATGCTGCTTGAGGAAGCTCGGAGCGATGAATGGTGCGGAATCATATGCCGCGGAATCACATGCCCCAACAAAGGGACCCAATGAACACCTCCCCAAAAAAATTCCCCAACGAAGTATATACCAGAAGATCCCGATCCAGGTCCCGAGGCCCATCCTCCAGACCCACTTGGAGCACCCGAGACCCCCGTTTCACATCGACGCGTCGAGACCACGCTCCCGTTGGCCTGGATCATCACTCGCTTGGGAAGCTCCTGAGGTGAGCAGTGGCGTTCGTGGCATCGGAGATCATCCCTTAGGCCCTGCTATGACCTGATGACTATGGAGGCAGGAAAGGAGGGAAAAGCAAAAGGATTGCACAGGTAGGCCCCGAAGCCAAAAAATCCAGCACTCGGAACACGTATCAACTTGTGATGCTAAAAGTTGGACACGGCCCACTTTTTGTGGAGGAAAGTTGTCTTTCACCGGTAGGTCGGCCTTGAACACCCGACCGAGGGCGCAGGTGACGCCGGCGCCAGGGGGGCGGGTGGTCATCTGCCCGTGTCGTTCCAGGAAGCCCTGCAGGCCTTCCACTTCCCTCGAACCGCTTGTGAAACGTCATTGACGAAAGACCTCTCCCGGTTCTCCTTGATCTCTTGCTCACATTTGGCCATCCGCCGCTCGAAGATCTCCATGCCCCGCCGGGACTGTTGGCTGGCCTGGCTGAAGATGTGCCATTTCCTCCCGATCGAGCACTCGAGTTGGGTTTGCTGTCATGAAAATATATGTCAGATATTAGATGATATTAGAATTCTTTACCAGTTTAGCCTTCATAAGAATTTCACCCTCATGAACGTGTTTTGTCTATAGATTCAAGATGTTGTGGAAGAGCTCATAGAAAATGGTCTGCTGGGCGTGCTATCATTTACTATTGAATATCTGGTTTCCCGGTCCACCTGAAGGAAAAGTAGAGTTCAAACTCCAAAAGTGCTTTCAGTGAGTCCATGTAGTTTCATGTTGGACAAATCATTGCCCTTCCCATCCGTGCACGTCGTACTTTTGGTCTCACAACTTGCTCCGATCTTTGCAGATTGCAGATGCTCCTGCTCCGCTCGCGCGGAGTGTAGCTTGCGCTGGCCCGCTCAGTAGCCGTAGCCCAGGTCCGCTTCGATGGGTTCACCCTTTGCCTTCTTCTCCTGCGAAGGGAGGGGTCCGGGGTTTCAAGCGGTGAAGACGAGACCTGGTTGATGTGTCCTTTCTCCACACGGTGAACCTGTGATTCTTGGCAAAAGCTGTCACCTGTGATTTATATGCTGTTGGGTTGGAGGCCATCACTATTACATTTATTTATATATATATATATGTGATATATATGCTGTGGATTGCTGTGAATTTTTCCCCAACAGTGCTCCAACCACCCAGCCGCATCCAGCTCACCCGCATAAATCACGAACGACCACGTGATAAAGAAAATCCCATCGTCGGGCATCTCCTTCAAGTCGGACCACTCTGAGTAGAGGCTCACGGTCTGGCGTTAACAATCCGGCCCTCTCAATACCCCGACTGCTGAACCTTCTTCATGGAGACTTTACTATACTAGTAATTAGTAAGGCCAGGAGCTACTAGTAGCGTCCTTGCTCCTAGTAGCGATGCCCTTTGTTACTAGTAGCTTCTTGCCAAGATGTTCCAAAGCAAATATTACACTGCAACTTCCACCGCTTACTCTGCTCTTGAACTGGCGGCCGTCCAACTTAGTCAGGGATGTTTAGCACAAACGGGACTGATTGATGATGCTCCAGACCGGACCAAACAAACAATCAATCAAACCAAAGAATAAAAAAAGAAAAATGGATTGGTTTAATATTTCCCATGCCGATCCCTGCCTGGATGATAATGGCCAAGACTACTCCAAGGACCACTGGTATGATCAACAGCCATGGGATGCCACCGAACCTCCAAGTTCGCAACTTCGTCAAATGCTGCAAGGAATTCTGGCCGAAACACGTGTTGACCAATTCTGCGACGTGAACCTACGGAATCTTTGGAGAAGACTGTGCGTAGGAGACTTTCAAGGGATCCCTGCGGATACCTAGGATCCTAAGTCCACATGGGTTCTTCGAGGACAGGAATAACATGGAAGAACTAAACTTTGATAACCACTCCCAAGAACATCGATCATAATTAGTGATCCATTCAAAACGATTACATAATCATGGCCCTTCTAAAGCTCGTCGCTCATTCGGTCCCGGGTCGTTGCCGCGCGCGGGGTGATGGGAATCAATCTCTGCCGAGCCACATGGTGTGATCACGCTGGGGAATGCTGGGCCCCGTGGGCTTGTCCTCCTCAGAACCGGTAGACCACTGGGCGGTGTCACTTGAGAGACCCGAAGTAGCATGGAGACACAAAGACCTGCAAGAAAGGGAAAGTTCTTAGAATTACACCAATGAACCGCAGTTGCAGAGGTTGAAGACCATACCCGACCCCGAATGGTCAGGAAAAACACCATGCCTGGATACAGTAGTAGACCGACCTCCAAGCGCATGTGCCCTTGTTCCATGTCACTCCCACCCAGCTCCACCAATGAGGCCGGAAAGGCTACTGGGTATAAGTAAAAAAGCCTGGACACATGGTTTATTGCCCAAAATGACAAGAATGAATGATGGCAAACAGGTTAACTGGTTTTACTTATGCTTTTTGGGGGGGGGTTGCCTTGACCCACAGCAAAGTGACTTCAGCACCCAACCTGGCCCAAGAGAAGTCGTTATGATCGGTCTGCGCGAGACAGGAACCCAGTCAAACAACCACACCGAGCATCAGTCTTCTCTGGGCTCAAGGACACCCCCAAGGTCTCCAGTAGGGCCAAAGCCATCGTCTGGTGCTTACCTCCAGTACAGCGGTCAATGAAGATCATCAACAAACAATAGAGCGAGAGAGAGAGAGAGAATCTACTAAGTTGTAGAGAGTAAGCACAGCATCCCTTCATGATTTATGTATATAATTTGTTTAAATACAAATCAAACATGCTGCATACCACCAAAAAGGAGTCCAGTACATATTCAAAGTATATATGCAAAAGAACCACATGCAGGGCCATCTGCATGCAAGCAGTGTAATATAGTCTTGCATGGGTAGGCGAGAAGCGGCTATGATGCCTCTCATAGAGGATATGGTCGTCGACAGAATTATACAACAGTGTTAGGAGTATTTAGGAGTACAGAATACGTCGAAGATATCTGTTGATCATCACTATCTAGTCAAGTCCCCGGCCCCTGCAACAAAACAACAATCGGAGTCTATTGCCAAGCCAAGTCAAACATGGACACGAAACGTCACGAATCAGAGGCCCTCCCTAATGGCCAGCTGGAGTTTTACTTTTTTCAGGAAACCAGCGGTGTGGATTGTTTTGGAGGTCATCTGCGCCATGGTCATGGGAACCAACTGTTGATCGACTAGCACATGCCTCCCAGAAGACCTGCAGCTCTTCAAACCCGCTGCCTTTCCAGGAGAGGACATCACTTCCTCGCGGACAGGACCCTTCCACCCCTGGAACTGGACAGGCCAAGGTGCTCCTTCTTTCAACGCTATGGTCGGCACTCAGCACCCAGCTGGTGGCCTTCTTCCCAAGGGACCTCATGGTGCACATGGTGTGGCTGGTGCTTTTTCGCAAGAAAACTGAAATCGAAAGGTTCGGGACCCCATTTGATGAGAATGATCTCTCCCTTGGCACTCAATGCACTTTGTCGCCTTGTCAGTCTTGTTATATTAATATATCCCTGAAAGCCGGTTCCTCTCTGACTCAGGCCTATTGAATACAAATTTTCATTGAGGGGCCCTTCCCACTGGGTGCTTCTTGAAACTTGCCAGTTGTTCATGAGGAATGAGGGTTCTAGGAAATATGGGTACACACAGCCTAAAATAGCTGCATATAGCTTCATCCTGTAGCCCCAGAGAAGTACCTTCGATCTCCACTACTTGAGTGGCCGGATCTTGATTGGAAACTAGCCGGAATGTGCTAAGTCCTGAGTATGTTGACCGCTGAGAAAAACAACTACTCTTCGAATGAAAACCAGCGGTCTTGAGGTTTCATCTTGGATGTCTACAGGAGCCACCAACTACCACGGTGCACCACCCTATGTGCTTGCAGGAACAAGTCCACGTCTAGCTTGCACCCTGCCGCAACGAGCCACCGGGGGCCAAGGCACAGGGGCGACTCTGAGAGGAACCAACCCACTTGAGTGAGGGCCATTCCTAGCCATCTCGCTTCCTGGGCAGAACAGGTGGATGTCCTTGAAGGAGCTGTAAAACGTGACAATACTCGCAGCGATAGATTCATATAATGTCATATCGATTCCCTAAGGGGATATTCGGATGATAAGTGTGCATATATAACTATATAATATATATTATATACTGTATAATAATATATATATGGCATATCATTGAATAGTAATATACAGGTCGTCGAGCTTAGGACTGGATTGTAGTTTTCAAACGAGTTGTGATGGTTTGAGTTCTATTCTGTTGGTTTAGTTCCAACAAAAGTCTAGAAACCAAATGAATAGTGGGAGGGCTTCTTCAAGCTCCCCCAGCCCTCAGGCGGGGAGCTTTGCATCCCAGCTGCTAGTGGCTTCCATTTGGTCCTAGGACTACTTACTCCTCAGTCCCAGCCTCCCGTGCAATCCGGCTGATAGAAAGAAACTCCCGTCTTCAACATGATGCAAGGATCCACGTCTTCAATGGTCTCAGGCAGTTCGTGAGTCTCTTGCACCTTCAAGAGCTTTGAGCTTCGCACATCCTGGGCCAGTGACAAATGCTGGCAAAGTTGGGACTCTGTCGATTCCAAATGAACATACAATTTTCTCTCAACAGCGGTGGTGGCAGCTTCGCAGCGGTTCTAATGCCTTCCGGTGGGCAAAGAGATTGGTGCGATCTCTCCAACATTTAAGGCGACCAGCTGAGGATCCCAAATCTCTCCCGAACAAACATCTCTCTCAATGGTTTTGCTTGAGCCAGATCATTTGAAGAAATACTCTGGCCCACGCACGACAAAAGTCACACCCCTCAGCTACAGTTCGCACTCTGTGATACCCGCATGTCCTCTGGCAACTCACTGCCATCCATCATCAGCTTGGCATTGGGCAAGATCGCAATCTCGCTGGCTTCCACGCCAGCACTGAGCCCCAACAGGGGCAGAAATCGCAAACCTTGGTAGTAACAAGAAGCGACTAGTAACGGTCTTTGAAGCTACTAGGAGCAAGGACGCTACCAGGAGGTCTTTGAAGCTTGCTGGATGTGTGCGTTGTGCGCTAGAACGGACTCGAGGCATGATTTCGTTCGGCACGAATCTCGACAAACCCAGTGACAATGCAAATATTGGAGGCCAACTCTCAAAATGCTGTTAGAGTTAGGAGCATACTGGAAAGGCCCTTTCTCCAGCAATTAAACCTGACTGTGTTTCGTCTGAACCTCCAGGACAAACCGAGTCTGAATGCTGACACAGAGAGAGAGAGAGAGAAAGAGATATTGATGCGCAGCATAAATACATGGTATGAATATGTTGCTTCCTTCAACTTTAACGCTTGTTTCAAGTATCCTCTTCTGCAATACCCACATCATTGTGTATTTAGAAACACAAACAAATAAGTTAACTTTGCGATCAAGGAAATCAAAGAGCTGCGTGGAGCTTTCACAGAGGTTGTCCCCGATGCCCACACCATGCAAGTGCAAGTACAGAATATGAACAAGCAAAACAACCACTTAAAAAAGCTGGAGTTACTTGGGTGGACTATACACTTTTCATTTTTGTGGAGTAGAATCAGCAGGAGCCTTGATTTCGACCTACAGAATGCCAAGTATTGCCAAGGCACCTATCATCTCGTTTCCTCCTTAGGCTTGCGCAGATTTGGTGAGAGCTAAAGGACCTGGTCTTGGTCAAAGCAATTTCCGATGTTCTTCCTGGTACACCCGCGAAGATTACCATGGAACCTGAAAATTGACCTTTGGAAGACCATTTTCCTTTACAACCCACTGGTTTTCAGGTTCCATGTTAATCTTCCGGGGTGTACTTCTTTATTTAACTTGTCCATCGCTAGTAGGTTGGCGGCCATCGCTAGTAGGTTGGAGGCCATTGCGAGTAGGTTGGAGACCATCGCAATTAGGTTGGAGGCCATTGCTAGCAGGTTGGAGGCCATCGCTGTTAGGTTGGAGGCAATTGCTATTAGGTTCTTCTATGTTGCTCTTCCTGGTACTTCTGTATTTACTTTTCCATGTCAAGCTGAAAGGCCGGACCTCTACCTGAGCAAGTTCATGCATCTTTCCCACCCGCAAACATGGTGCCCGCTTGATTTGCCCCAAGGAGCAGCTTTCGCTGGCCAGTGCTCAACTTGTGATGGAGTAGACATGATATTGGATAATCCAAACGACCAAACTACTTCTTGTCATGATTCTGCATTGTCTCACCTCTGGCAGGCATTCAACCCCATTTTTGTTCATCCCACCTAAGTCATCTAACCGCAACTGTGTGCTTGCTCATCTGGTTTAGAACTGACTGGTGGGATTGCTTTGCAACACGAGCTCGGACACCAAAGTCCATCTCATCAAGCATATCCAGGTTTCTGTATGAAGGGATTCGATCTCGGCGGTGGTGCCGCAAAAGGAAATACCGAGAGCCGCCCAAGGTTTCTCAGCTCTCTGCTTGGGCCAAGGGCGGCAGAGTTCATTCAAACCCATAGACATCTTTGAATAAACAACAGGAAAGACCAAGGATCTGGGCCAGCTTTCCGCTTGAATTCCTTCCAGGTGTCACGTTCTTGTATTCGATCTGAAGCACTGTATCCATAAGAACATCTGCATTGGAGCAAACACGTCCATGAATAATGAAGCCAAAGAACTCATCATATCCTGAACATGCTGTAGCGGTTGAGCCAAACAGATGCTATAGCTTACTCAAGATCTGTTGACTTGGTGCCAGACAGCCTCACTTGATCCGCTCTTGGAAAACAGGTACCCGGACCCAAATGTGTCGAGAATTTGCATGCTTGGATACAAATTCACCTGTTACAGAGGGAGAAATGATGATTGTGCTGAGGTTCAACCCCTGCAGCCGTGGAACTCTGCCAAGGTGCGTATCAAGGGGTCTTAGGGATTGGGCCAGAACATATTTGGACAATCTGAGGTGCAGAGGTCGAGATCAATTCCAAGTTATATACTTATATATATATATACACAGTATCTGCCAATAGGCACCATGAACCTCAAAGCCAGATCCAGGCCTTCTCCAAATCTTGCACAGCGCTCATGCTGGCTCGCACCAGTGCCTCTTCTTGAATGGCCTGTCATGGCGGCCCGTGACCGCAGGACTGAACAGCGGATGCGGTGCCGGAAACGGCCGAACGGCCGAACGACTTCATGGAGCCCCATGAAATACTCCACAATAAAACGGGTATGTTTTTCCCGGTCGCTTCTGATTGACAAACTCTGACACATACTTTTTTGCATGACATGGGTTTCCATTGTTTCATGGGAGCTTTCCATCCGAGCTTCACCGGCAGCCACACATTGCCAGGCACTGCCCAGCCTTCTCAGTGAGGGATTTCATCTCCTCTCCTGAAGGGGTGGCACCCAAAAATTCACAAGAAATCTTACATGCATACTTTTGACATCGAATTGTTGATTACTGTAACTGTAACTTCCCTTAGTGGTGCCCTTGGGTGACCCATTGTTCCTCTTCAAATGTCTACAACACCACAAAGCCTAGCACCTGGTCGCTTCCGGGACATTGCCAAAGTGCTTAATTAGGCTGTTCTTCAACCCTTATATATATATATATTTTCTGTGTGACTCAAAGATCTCTGCCAAGAACGAAAAACACGCAATCTGTCAAGTTAGAGCAAAGATCGGTTTCCGTGTTTTTTCCACTTGGTGTGAATACACTTGGGAAATGAATTGTCTTTATAGCCTTCACCAACCACGTGGTGTGGACAGGTGTGCGTCACGAATGCTTCCTAGCCCGGGGTTCCATAGACGATCCTGCGCCACTTGTGATTGACGCGGCCGCAACATCCGGCAAAGCCTGGATATGTATATTATATATTAGCTAGTATATATTACAGTATATCATATTATATAAGTTATATAACTATTATGTTATATGTAGAATCCATATTGATCATATGATACAAGCCAAAAAAGAACTTCCTCTCTTCTGAAGGCACCGCATCTGTGCGCTTCTCGGGAGCCCCGACGGACCGCTTCCGCCGCGGTAGTGAGATCCTGGGAGCGCCAAAGCCCAAGGCCACTGAGAATGGTCTCAGTGGAACCTGAGACGTTGAACTAGGAGCTACTAGGAGCTACTAGGGAGAAACAAGAAGCTACTAGGGCTCCTGGCCGTACTACTAGAAATAAGGACGCTACTAGGGGCTCTTTTTCGTGTGATTTTTGTCCTTCTTCGAACTCCAAAGGATTCCAAAGGACTTAGTGGAAGAACCAAGCCGTAACCGTCCTTCTGCTTGGATCACCTCCAGAACCCGAGGCCCCGAAACCAGCCTGGTGTGCTGAGAGCTTTTGCGCCGCCGTGTCCGCCTCAATCCACCGTAGGGAGGGCTGCTTGGGACGAGAGCTCGATGGCCAGACTTGGGCATTGTTCGGAAAAAGCTCCACATGGAACGCAATGTGCCAAGAAAAACAGATCCTGAAGAGGAGGGTCCAAAGAACAAGCATATTTCAACATCTGTTGCCTTTGAGAGGCTTTGAGTAGATCACCTTCGCTTCAACTCACTGCCCTCTGCACCAAGAACTTGACACTTCCCAAGTGGCGGGACACGAGGAGACTAAACCTTGAAGAAATCGTAATTCATGCATGCAAAAATGTGTAAAACAATGTGTTATAAATGTATCAATAACACTTTAAGTTATGTAAACAGGTGTAACACTTCTTCTGTCTTTTCTCGTTCCTTGTTCATCTCAGTCCACAGCCGTAAGTTTCTCAATGGTTCCGATCTCCTGGGGTGGAGCAGCATGGTGTGGTAGACTGCAATCGGTGCAATAGTGAGTTGTGTGGATACGCATGCTGAAAGTGCCTTCCAGTGTTTCCAACACCGCCGATTTTGAATTGGTTGTATTGGTCCATAAGTCCTGACGCACGTGACCTGTGGAAAACAGCAGGAAGCAAGGAAATGGCAAATGAAATACAGGTATTGCACTACAACCGCTCACTGACCTCATTTGTATATATGAATATTGAACCCAGCTCACATGAGACAAGACATGTGCCTATAACTCCCATATGGACTACTTATGCTCGATGTTACCTGCTTTTGTATGATGAGATGACACACATCATCGCACACATTATGACGAGATGCGAATTGTGAATGAATCGGTTTCTAAGTTTTGCACCTGGGCCACAAATCCGAACCACACTGGGCCGAAAACACCGGAAAAAGACATGAGAACAAAAAACAGCTGGATTGCAACAAAAAGAACAAAAACAACGAAACAATGGAGATCATCTCATGAAACGTTGGTACATCCCAACTTCAAACCCCAGCTCGCGCCTCTCGCAGGGCCGTGCCCAAGCCCGCCAGCTCCTAGTGCAAGCGAACCCATGGATCTGTGAAATCTGCCCTTGAAAAGTTGAGTCGGTTGAGTCTGCTCATGTGAAGGAGCAAGATATTTCTGTAATAGTTTCATCACCCACCTGAAACTTCTGCAAACCTTAGCTTGTTGATCCAAAAGAAATGAAAGACTCATAAAGACTCGCACAAATGGGAAGAAGCCCGTCAAACACATATTGACTACCCGTAGATCTGCAACGCCCAAAGACGCTGCCAGGGCAAACGCTCCTCACGCGAGACGGCATGGCCCTGCTGAAACGCCTCCTCAACGAGTTTCTTCAACTCCTGGACACTGCCGCCATGCATCCGTGGTGCTCCCGAGTCCGGGTGATTTAGTCTTGACCTCAAGTCGTGAGTGCACACAAGTGACTCAAGGGATCCCAAGTGAGCAAACATGTGCCATCTTCCGCACGCTGCCAAAGGGGTGTGAGGACTGTCAGGGGCAATTGGTGCGGGAGGGGAGTTCAGAATGATAGAAAGCGGTCCCAAACATTGCAGCCCAGCAACCCAGCGTCTAGAAAGGCACAAACACACTACACAGAACACAATGAGACATCTTGAACTTGCGATCTACCTTCCATGCAGGTGTGTAGCCACTAACATTTTGGCACCTGAAGGAAATGCCTGATTAAAGGAAACCCTCTTCCCACCATCCCGTCTCTCAAGAACCCAAACGGCGTCGGTCTTCCCATGTTTGGCTGCAGAAAGGGTGCGGATTCGGCGCCTTCTTCAGCACTTTTGCCAGCTCAACCATCTCAGAGCGGCTCACCGTCTCTGAGGGAGAGGGGCCCTGGCGGGGAGCCATCCGGTCGGGATTGGTGCGAGCAATGATCTAAACATGTTCAAATCGTGAAAGGAAAAACACATGGATAAAAGCTGTCTGTATAACTACATAAGCCATCATAAGCCCAACAGCTGAAACTAATGCCTAGACGCTGGGTGCCTCAAACCGGGCGATTCGACCGCTTCGCCTCGCCGAGGCGGTTAGAGACTTCCCCCACCCGCGCGTGCATTTGCTCCTGCGTGAAGCGACGTGCCGGACGAGGGGAGCGTGGTGGGTGGCGGGCGCGGAAGCAGACAGGACTTGCTGCGACACATGTTCCAACCTGTTCAATCAACTCAGCATAACACAACCAAACTGGAACCGTGAGCTGCGACAAGCTGTTGCAGCCGAACATCTGACACGGCACCTGTTGACTTCACATCAAATGATGGTCTTGTTGAAGGAAGAACACACAAAGACACCCAACGATCCACGTATCCTTCGAACGGTCCGTGCCAATGCGCACAGGTCACAGCGTCGTTCTTCGCCGATCCTCCAAGGTCTTCCGCCACTTGCACATGCGGGTCTCATTTTGATCGGACCGTCTCACCTGCCAGGGAGGCTTGACTGAGGATCTTCATGGGTCAATCCCTCCAACTCACATCTTGCTGGACAAACACCGTCCAAGTCCTGTTATAATGCATATTTATATATGTGTATATCTTACAGCAAGATGTCGACAAATGGAACTGTATGGTCTACCTGGTACATGCTTTCTGGTTTTTAGATCTACAGTATCTACTCAACTCTTGCTCCACATGCAGCATCTCCTTCATCGGACCTCTTACCCTGTTCGAGTCATCTGCCTGCAGCTCAATGGAGTCTTGGATGCCCTTCAAATTGCCTCGCAACCTTGGCCCCACGTGGGTCGCAGCCCCTGATTGGAAAAGCTGTCACCATGATACAGCCCTTTGATAGGTCTAGAAAGGAGTTTTGAGTTTTGTGGTGTAAGTTCGGCAACAACATATTACACCCCTCATTATTGGTGGTAGATCGTAGGGTTGAACGGAGCGACCATGCTAAGAAGTAGAATCAGCTCCGCCTGCCGGAGATCTGGTAAAGCTTCTAGCTAGGTGGAGGCCATCGCTATGAGGTTGGAGGCCATCGCTACTAGGAACAAGAAGCTACTAGTAGCAAGTCATCACGGCAGTCTCAAGTGGTCTCAAGTGGGCTTCGTACCTCTGTGATTCAGGTCGATGACATGGCCCAAAGGACCGTAGATCCAAACCAAGACTTGGAGCTGGTTGGCCAGTGTCAAGAAACAATCGGGCCATCTTCAGGCTTTTCGCTCTGTTGGCTCTGCCCTATGAAAGATCCCAGCCAGGTGAAGGCAAGAAACTTTGTCTCTGCTCATGGGCCTCCACTGGCAACGTGAGAAACTCTACAGTGCTCCACGGCTGGCCAACTTGGCCATGGGCTGGTGCACACTAATTAGTGCACACTAGTCCACTTCCGTCAAGGCGGTGCAAACGCCGGTGAAAGTGCCAGATTTCAAAGGGCCCTTGTAGAGTGTCGCAATATCTGAGAGTCCTCCCGTGAGGCCAAACAAGAGAGGGCGAAACCCGCTCCGAACAGGTTAAGTTGCCTTGAATGGTGTTGCCCAAGTACGAGTTTAGTTGGTAACAACGGTCATTTGCCGCTTGTAATTATAACAAGCGCAAAACACCAGTGTTGCGGTTTGGCCACATCTCCCTGTCCTCCATAGGTGGCTTGATGAGGATGTCTCTTCTTCCATGCCGGAGCAATATGCTTCTCCATTGCAGAGTAGCAGCCAAAAAACAGGAGCCGATCTGCGTTCTGCGCGTCAATGGCCTCCAGGAGCTTCATGGCAGCGTCAGCAGTGCAGTCCTGACCCTGGTTGTTCGTGAGGGAGGAGTCTTTTTCCCAACCATGGGCCATAAGAATCACCCTGTCCTCGTGTCGGGCTGCTGTTCAAACACTAAGAAACACCAAACATGTCCAAGCAAAGCACTTCCAACAGCTGTCTTCACACCGGTAGGTTTGATTGTGGATGATTTGGAAGGTCACCTCTATCTTTATGACACCTGCAAATAGATGGTGGCCAACCAGCCGGTCCTCCTTTCCACACGTGTACTGGTCAGTTGAATTCTTGTACACAATTTTGATCTCTTTTACGTCGGCTTCAACCTTCTCAGGGAGCGATTTCTTCGACGACTGTGCCAGCTGTTCTTGAAACTCATGAGCGCTTTGTTCCAGGTCACACGCACCTCGACAGGCTGTTCAAGGCATTTCCTTCGAAAACAAGCACAACAATGTGTAACATGGAATCTTGCGCTTCTGGTTACGACCCACTGGGGCTGCCATGAAAGATTTCCTATTGAACTTGGTGGTAAGCACTCCTACTGTTCACAGTGCTCCAAATGTTCCATCCAATGTGTGAGGGATGAGGCTAGAGCACCCCACATAGGCCAAGATTCTCGATGATGGTGTAGTGTAGGACCTCTGGGTCCCGGTGCTTCGTTTGACCCTTCTGGAAGAAATTTAAGCCTTGCCTTCAGCGTCTGGATTGAACGGAATGAGAATCACCACATTTGCCATGGCAGTTGGCTCGGGCGGCTCAAAAGCTGGCTTCAACAGGAATGGGAAGGATAACTGGGCCTCTCATCCCCTTTCGCAACATGCTATCCAAAGAAAATCCTTAGACATTTCACGTGAAGACTCCAAGATATTCGTGTTATATGGTGGTATGGCATGGGGGGATTTCCAAGTGTCCAAGTGAAGAAACATCTGAACGCTGGACCTTTTCTAGGCATCTTTTCATGGCCTTGATCCTTGGAGCTGTTGAAGAATAAGATTGAACGAGTATAGGGTGCATTAGCGTGCCATGACCCTCAAGTTGCCTTCCCAACACGAAGACGGCAAAAGAAATTCCCACTCGGAGGGAAAAAAGACCGAGCAGTGCCAGAAGTCGTGCTGGGAGTTCCTTGAAGTTTCAGGGTATGGAGCAAGTAAGGTTCACTTCATGCACTCATTTAACATGCCACACCTTAAGCCTTAAGCAAATCAACTAAGACAGGACTCCCCCTTGAGCTCTCACCACTCTTGCCCAAAGCTCACCACCCGGACCGAGCCGAGCGCGCGCTTTGCGCCAAGGAACTCAGCGATGCTACAGTCGATGACCGGTTGGCGGCCTTCCAGCGCAGCCACCTCGTCGGACGACGCCGGAAGGGGCGTCGGAAAGGGTTGTAGGCATTGAGGCTCAAAGCCTTTGCATGCGTATTTGATAGAGCCTATGACCTTCACCATTGGGTAGAACTAATTTGGGCCATGCTCTTGGAAAGTTCTTTATTTTTACAGCGCACCTTCGCCTCCAAGGGATGCATCATGATGTCCATGAAGCGTTCTGACTGCTCCTGGCGTCCAGTCGGATCCCAACTCAACATGTACTTAAGGTAGGAGTAGCTGAGAAGTGCTGTGGGGGAGAGTAATTCTCCCAGAATATTCATCCATATTCTATCCACTTGACAATGACTCAGGATGACCAGAAAATGAAGCATCACTATCACCTTTACTCTTAAGACTTGGAGTTTCAGTAGCTAGCCTGCAAAAGCCGTCAAATTCTTCCAGCAAAATGTCATGTCTAGGACGCTCTAAGATGTCCTAGCAGGATCTTCACCAAAGTGAATCCTGAGCGGTTCACCTGCCAAGCCAAAAAAACAAAGCTTTTGCCAAGCGCAGCGCCCACTCGCACCTGCAACCGTAAGACCTGCCGCATCATCTTCTCCTCCAGGAGGTCGAGCTCACGTCGGGCCTCGTGCCGGGATGACGGGAGAACATCGATTTCGTGCTCTGATACCAAGCTATTCCGAATGCCTCAATCCATCTCAATCCGCTTGCAGGCTGATATATTGATTCAACCCCCGAAGTCTTTCATTGATGCAATCCTTGAAACAGCCGGCAGGTCTCCAATGGGTAAAAAATTGGACAAGGTTCACAAATTAGGGGCTCCTAGCATCGCTACTAGGAGCAAGGACGCTACGAACGGAGCTCCTGGCCTGACTACTAGGAGCAACAAGCTCCTAGGGGTTCCTGGCATCGCTACTAGGAGCAAGAAGCTATTAGGAACAAGTGCATCGCTTCTAGTAACAAGTGCCTTACTAGTAGTAACAAGGACGCTACTAGGGGCTCCTGGCATCGCTACGAAAGGCAATTTCTTCGATTTTCCGGACAACTGATGCATCTTCCGCCACACGCCGAGCTAAGCTGACGGCAGCGTCCTCCCGGACCCGCCTGGAGCAGGACCCCCAAAGGTGAGTCTCGAAAAACGGACCTTTCTGCAAACAGATCTGTCAGTTTTCTGCTTTGGATTTGCATTGAAAGGACTTGGACGAAACCAGAGGAAATTGAAACAATCTCTTCCAAGCTCGATCCTCCAATAGCTGGGTTTGTGAAACAGCCTGAAGCAATCCCAGCCATAATTGCTCCCACGGCAAACTTTGATTAAAAAACCAATCGCTTTCGTGCCCCCCGAACGAATCCACTTGTCAATGTTCCACGATCTGTGTTGGAGTGGTCAGTTTATGTCTGGCTTATCTTAGTCTTCTCGCAAAACCCAAACAACAAAATTGAAGTGCTTTCTGTGATTTAGCGGCCAGGCCACCCAAACACTTGTCCACCAACGCAGCGAATTTGAGCAAAAAGCGAAGTTGAATCACAAAACTCCCTATGCCATGCCCATCGCCATGCCCTTCTCAAGGCCGCTTTTTCCTTCAGCTGGCGAAGGTGCCACTCATCCAAAGAGCCTCCTGAACGAGGTAGCTCCTGGGCTGCGAGACGTGCAAGCGTCTGAAAAACACACCCTGGGATATCGCTAGGTAACAAAGCACTGCTATGAGCGAGATCCAATGGAGACTTTGAGCCAAGATTGCAATGAGTATTTGTGGGAATGAGTTTCCCAACTGAAACTCAAAGCCAATCCGCTGCCGACCCCAAAGAAGAACTGTGGCGAACCCATCAATCTCTGCAAATCAAGACAAGCTGGAAACCAAAGCCCTGGAGCAGGGTCAGGGAACAAATCTCTAACAAAACCAGGGTTAGCTAAGAACTAATAATTTACTGCCACAACCACCCTTAGCCCCCCCCAACAAAGAAATTGCCCAGAAAAAGACTACCTAGACCTGTTCGCCTACCACCTTTTGCCTTTAGTCTTGATCCACACCCTCTTCTAATGTCAGCCTGGTTGCAATGCCAGAGCTTCATTAAGGGGCACAAAAGGGTGCATTCCACCCTTCAAATCAACAAAGATCACGTTCAAATAACAATTCACCACTGGAGAAGACTGTATTACGCAGTTCAGAGCAAACCATGCTTGCTACTTCCACACAGCGACCCACAGTGGCTATGTCGTCAGAGCACGCGAGGGCATTGGCCATTGGAGTCCCCCAGATCTGCAACAGTGGGACCTCGCCGTTCCCAAAAGACCTCGCTGGAGGCCGGGTGGCAAAGGTAAGGAAGAGCAGCGGAGCGCGCAGAAAACGTGATGACGCTTTAAGAATGGAACAACAAAGAGGCGCTCCCACCAGTTGGAAGCTTGGTCAAAAAGTCTAAAAGGACAAGGGCATTTTGATGCTTCTATACCCCGTAGTTGTGGGGATCTATGTTCAAACCCTAATCTGTCGGATTGTGATGGATTGCGTGCGTGTTTGTGCCTGTGTGCGCTCGCCCTCTATGTTTCATGATTCATTCATGATACAGAGTCATAGAGTCATAGGCAACTAGTAACTAGGGTTTAAGTCTTTCATCTTCTATCCATAGATATCCATAGATGACCTGACTGATTCATGCATAGCCACCGATCCACCGAGAGCTGGCTGCCACTGCGGCGGCCTGAGGCCCGCTGCCCACGCAGGAGACACAAGAGAGTGACGGAGTGATTACCCGGATCCATCACGGGGTCTTCCAAAAAGACCAGGGTAACCAATGGGGCTAAGAAGCTACGCAACACTACTAGGAACAAGGGCATCGCTACTAGTAGCAAAGGGCATCGCTACTAGGAGCAAGGACGCTACTAGTAGCTCCTGGCCTTACTACTGGCATAGGATGCCACCATGACTCTCCATGACTTTTGCATGGACAGGGATGTTCACCAGGCGAATCCAGTGAGGTATTCAAGGGAGAATAAATAAATAGAAAATCTTCATCGGGGGATCAACAAGCGGTTTGGATGTGTTGGTTTGTGGATGATATGACGCAGTTTCCATGGATTAATTGGTTGATGCTTCTGGACTAGTATCAACTTGGATGTCCAGTGCATCTTGGATTGTTCATTCTTGTCTACGGATGCTGCATCTTTGCTCTTCCATCCCTGTGCCACCTTAATTCACCTCTTGGCAAGCTAACTGAACGCTTTCCTTCAGGAAGGATTGCGTGCATTCTCGCCATGAGATGACCTTCTGAAGCTACAGCAACTAGGGCTTCACACAGGTTGTCCATAGGCTTCCGCCCATGAGTAATGATCAAATGAATGCAAATCATGCAATTCTCCTAACTTTTCTTCACAAACAAGTGACAAGTGTTTCTACAAGGATTGCACCACCTACTTGGCCAGCAATGTTTCGAGCAGGAATTGTTGCTCTGAACAGCAGGAAAAACAAGCAAAAAAGATTGCTCGGCCCCCATCATCAGCTTCCCAACAAGATCAAGCCGCCGATGCCCAACTGGCTGCTAGCCAAATACTCGGCAGATCTCCAATCTGGAGCCCTCCTGAAGCGTCACGGCTGCGAACCGGTCACGGCCGGTCGTGCGTACAGGGAAGTTTGCTGTTGTCTGCAATCAAACTCTTGATGTGCATGTGGTCGGAAACTGGGGTATCAAGCTCTGTCCACATGAATCAAGTTGAGATATTTATTGGAAAACAAGCGCCCACCAAAGATCCACAAACCAAGGATTGTGCTTTTTCGTGCATTCGCTCTTGAGCCAGCTCAAGATCCCTGAAGCTGAGCAGGTCCCAGGGTTTCCCACCGAACTGCCAAGCCGCCAAACCCACCCCCTGCGAATTTGGAAAGACTAAAGAGCAGAAAAGCATTTCGTGAAAACACCGACAACAAGCCACCGATGCGACTGATCAACTAAGGCACATCCAAAGTGCCAGCTCGCCCGATGACATTGGCAAATGACCACTCGGAGCCGGCTGATCTTTTCTTGGCTCCTTGGTCTCCATCTGCACTGGTCTCCAACTCTCCTCCTTCTCCGCCAACACAGCATGTGGCTCGCACGGCCACTCGCGCAGCGGCTCGCGCTCGCGTGGCTCATGCGGCGGCTCCAGCGGTGCCGTGGAGTTCCTCCGCATTGCGGAACGGTGTAGCGCCTCCCTCTCGCGGTCCTGCTTCTCTCTGGCCTGCCTGAGAGATGACATGATCACCAACTCGTTTGGGAAAGCGCCCGGGCTGCCTTTTCTATGGCTGGGCACGCAATGATGCTATGCATTTTGACCTTTGCACCCCAAAAAACAAATAACTGTGGCATCATTGCATCATGTTGCTTTATGACAAGCGGCGCAGCTGTATGAAGCAACAAACGCTTGGTGCGAAATGGTGCGAATGTGTTTGAGCTTACCTCATACCTCTTGTAATATGAATGCACGTGTGTCTTCTAAACGTTTGAAACTGGCTCATGTGCACCTATATATGTGCACCCCGCTCAAGACCACACGTTGAGTCTAAACAATTTGCACCCGAGACGCCGACCTCTGGATCTTGCGTACCATTGTCTGCTGATAAGAGCCCAGTTGGACTGTAGGAATCGATGAAGCCCATTCCACCGGGTTCCAATGTCCCCCAGTTCTGCCCAGCCACTGGTCTCGCAGCTGTTTCTGCCGCACCATCTCCTCCAGCTGTGCTTCGGCCACTGCACCCGCAGGTGGAGCCGCGGCCACAGGCGGCAGGTCCTGCGCGGGACGGAGGCATAAAATGGTAGAAGGATGCAGAGGGGAGGTTTCAGGTATTGTTGTTGTGTTGCATCTGGTGTCATGTTTATATTTCAACCTTGTTGCTTGTTCCGAAACTTCATCTTTTGTTGCTGGGGGTTCTTGACGGGTCCTGGTTTACCTTTCGTTCGTGGATCACAATGTACGTTAAGAATTATGGATTCATCCAGGTCCTTCATCTTCCTATCCACTAATCAAAATTCCTTCGTTCGCAACGGTGTTGTTGCCCTAGAATCACGGGGCAATCGCTCTGCCTCAGGTGCATCCCATTCTGACAGTGGATGATGCTAAGGACAGTACCCCCAAAAAGGTGATGAACGCACTAGACAAGTGATCTTGGACGCCACCGGATGCACATCGCTCATCGCCCAGCTCCTGGGATTCCTGGTATTCATGCTGCTGCGCACGTGGCCCAAGGCCATAGCCGCGGGTAGACCGCGCTCTAGCCTGGTGCAAGGGCGCGAGAACAACCGCGGAGAGCGCTAGGAGATGTTCACCCATCAGTTACTAGATGCTGGGACAGGAACAGCTATAGAAAAATACACATGACATACATTTGTTGATTGGTCTTTCATTCTTTTGGGGCTGACCTGCTGCAACCACGTTTCTTTTTGTTTTTAAATGGTCGCTAGGCTTCCAGGTTTGGTCGCAAATAAATGATGATTGAGGACTATGCCGGGAACAGCGAGGTGGAAATAATGGCAAACTGTACCTGTACACAACAGAGAACTGTATCAAAATGATTGATGTTCCTCAATCAAACATGGCGGTCATATCATCATATCTCAATATATCATAATATCATTGGTCATTATTGTCGTACGAGATAAGCTGTCCAGGTTGAATTTTCCTTGCATCGGTACTCCGCGGCTTTGAAGTATGCCTTTCGAACCACCATAAAAGATCAAGCTCAGATAGAAGCAAATCAGAGAAAGGAAGAAGAGGAAACAACAAAACAAAAGAAGCTGCAGCAGTGGCAGCTACCTCAAGCATGTCATGTTCGCCGTTTGCACCCGCATCAGTCAAAGTATTCAGGAGGAAGCACGGGGAAGTTGGAGAGATACATCTGGTGTTGTCCTCAACTTGAGACAAAGCCGATGCAGGGAGGAGAAACGAGATCAATTTATTGGCTATCCTCTCAACAGGGGTTCACCTCCTGGTTGTGCCTGCCGGATGAGCATTTAAAATTTATCCGCAGGGATGTAAGAAGCAGCGATCGGCCCAAGTAGAACTGCCGCTAGCTTCGTGGAGTCATTTGTGGGTTCGACACATTGCGACATCCATCTCCTCAAGCAAGAGGGCATGT